ATGGCTTCAAGTCCTGTGGGGTTTGTTGTGTTTCTTTTTAAAGTAGATGGGATGTATCGTATTTTTAATTTGGAATAACTTCAAAATTGTATCTAGGCGAATTTTAATTGCAGTATCCTACCACTTTAAAATAAAAAAAAAAAAATTAAATAAGCAGGAATCATAGGGATAAGCTTGTCCTTTAACAGTACTTTCTCTGGAGCTAGTCCCCGAATTGGTGAGGAACCATTGTGACCCACTTGGAAGTCCTTGGAAACTGCCCCTCTCCCTCCCTCCCTCCCGCGCAGGCGAGCTCTACTCCCACCCGCCCGGAGAGCAGCTGGGAGCTCTTGAAGTAGAACAGTGGCAGGGGTTCGGCTTGAGGCCAAGTTCCATTTTTTGTTGATATGCTGAACTTCACCATTTGTTCAGGGAAACACCGCCCACAAACCCAACGAAAATGATTGTGGGGTTCGATACGGAGTGCCTAACCAGAGATGTGCAGTCTCGGTAAGGGCTGAGGCTGAAACCCACTTACGCCTTCATGAGCACGTTTCACAGTAAGTGTAATTTAGCGGTGAGGTTACGTGTTTAGTCTTGTCAAGGTGCCATTATCGAAAATGATCGTGGGGTTCGATACGCAGGAGTGCCTAACCAGAGATGTGCAGTCTCGGTAAGGGCTGAGGCTGAAACCCACTTACGCCTTCATGAGCACGTTTCACAGTAAGTGTAATTTAGCGGTGAGGTTACGTGTTTAGTCTTGTCAAGGTGCCATTATCCATTCTCTGTCCTGGCAGTAAACCCAGAAATGTTTTATTAGAAACAAGCGCTTAAGTATACAAGTGAAGTGATAAGAAATACATCATACATGGGCATAGAGAAACGTAAAAAGCAATATCGCAGTGACGGGCAATAAAGAATAAACTTATGTTGCCTTTGATGTTTTGAACATAAATTTTTAAATTTTTTTAAGAAACGTTAAAGCAATATAATGCATTTAACAACTAGACTTGGCTTTCAGAAGTGAGACACGTGGAGAATCACTTCAGACACAAACTGACTTTATTTAGTGATGACAGCTATTCGTATAGTCACTCATATAAATATGGGAATGTGTTTTAACTGACTTTTTGATGCATCTTAGCTCATGGAAACAGAGGAAAATTTACAGAAGAAAGGCTAAATGTAACTGTGATGTGGTTGGGAAAGGTGGGTAGCTGAGCCACGTCCCCAACTGCTGCCCTGGAGAGCACATAGGCCACAAGCTGAGGCATTTGATGTGTTTATCTCGTAACCCCTGAGTAGTACTCTGCATGTACTGAAAAACATAAAAATTGATATTTTGTGCTTAGAATATTAAAATAGCATTTGTGGGGACGCTTCAGCTTAGTAAAAAAAGTGAACTCTTCATTGCAGAATCCATGCCAAATATCACATTTCTGTAACAGAAAGAAATTACATCCTTTTAATGACTAAAGATTGCTTTCCAAAGCCATATGTATACTTTAAAATGGGCTATACTTAGTGATTTTCCAATAGTAGTATTTAAAGGAAGGGCAATTCCTATGCCAAATGCTATCCTGGTCTTACTATACCTTGGTAAAAAGGAAATTTTGTACTCTTGCTATTTTGTTATGCAAGGGCTACATCATACAGTATATGCAAAAAGAATTCAAGTGAGCCTGCTTAGGTAGACATTTTTGGGTTAGTGAGCATATGACTTGATAATGTTCACATTCTTTAAATTAGTGGGTTTGGTCTTACATACCATGCTGGATACTTGATAACAAATCCAAACAGTGAACAGCTTCACCTTGCTTGTTATTAATGTAGAGAGGAATTCCTACCTCCAGAAAAAAATACACAAGCCTCTCTACAATCCTCTTCACTCTCAAAGCGGTTTGCATTTCCATCACAGCCACCGTACCAAAACTGAGCACAAGCATTTGCCTGTTTATCATAATACCATTTTATGACATAAACACGGCATGGCCCTTGATCCAGCCTTAGAATGCATCGCGGGTCCAGGATACTGTCTAAAATAAAGAAAAAAAAAGGTATAGAAACAATTCAGTTTGTAAAAGTCAGTTGTATTGCACATATTTTAACTTTTAAACTCTGATTTTATTTTTTCTGCTAATGTTACACAGCAGTTTAAGATTCACTTTTACTTCTAAAGATGTAGCATTGAAGGCAAGTTAAAAGTGCATCTTAGTAGGTCAAGTGAACTGTTCATTTACTGGCATGCTTCTAGTAACTCCAGAAATAACAGTACTATGGCTTCACATACAAGAAGAGTAAACAATATGAATCTCATTATTTTGAAATCTATTTTTTAAAATGTAATTATCAGCAACCAGTCTTGTGAGCAACTCAAAGTTGTAAGCCAAAGAGCTGTAAGCTAGTTCCATCTGCTGTTTTCAACCCACAAATATGACCGTTGTCCTTCTGCATTACATTCATTACATTAGTTCTCTTTTTGGTGTGGGGGAAGAGCCATTAGACTAGCGAGAAGAATGTAAAACTTTAGTCTTACGTAAGAAAGATGTTTGTGCTACTTATTTAATGCAGTGGTAGTAATTATGTACATGGTAGTTGAGTCTGAATGCAAAGCTTCTTGGTCTAATGATTCCTACAGATAGGCACTAGAGGACTGTGCCACCCTGATCTGGTCTCACTCACTTTAATAACACCATGAGATAGAAAATACTTTTTCTTCAAGTTTAATGTTATGACATCAATGTTCTGTCTTTGGCAACTGGTGTCTTGATAATTTAGGGGGGAAAAAAAATGTTAGTGCCAGGGGCAGGATAACTGTCATTCCTAGGAAACATGGGCACGTGTTTCTATTGCTTTCTTCTCTTGCTCCCGGCATGATACATTATACTGGAACTCAAAAGTGTGAATCCCCCAGATGATGAACAGAATACATTTGGAGTTTAACTATGAAATACATCAATCCTTTGAGCACTCAGCTAATTACTATGCTTTCCTTCAAATGACTAAACACTGTTTTTTCTCTATTTCTTTTCTGAAGGAAATAACCTATTTTTTTTTGTCCAGTCCTGAAATCATTATCTTCTCTGTCTTTAATGAAGCCTCCCACCTCCACTGACTGACCTTTCTTGGCTGACAAATTACCTGCTCACTGGCTCACCTCAGCTAGCACTATCTTCTCTTTTTGATGGCATTTATGAGCCCAGTCTCAGGTATAGGTGACCTTGCTTCTGCTGTAGTGGAGCGGTGGGATTTGGTATGTGGGAAGACAAGAACTGGTGAACAGGCTGGACAAGAACTGCAACTAGAGCTGTTATAAAATCCTGAAATGGATTCTCTTCCACAGCATGAGCTCACGAAATCTTCAGAGTGGAACAAAATTACTCTGATTTAAAGCTTTATGAAAAGTTATTATCAGGATAAGAGAGAACAAAATGAAAAACTAGTTTGACCTGGCCTTGGTGTGAGCTCTGCAGTTGAAAGAGATGATGTCATCACTTTATCTGATGATGATGGTTTAGATGGCAGTAATGGTACCACAGCTGCAGGTGAAAAGAAACAGAACGAGACATTGATTTTTGATCAGCCCCAGAAATAACTAGGAGATGAAGAAATGAATGATTATAAAAATACCTCTAGTGTTTACTGTTAGCAAGGGTGACTGTTCTTCCTTCTTGTGTTCTTCTTCATAGGCTTCATATACTACCACAGGAGGTACCTTGGTCTGAAATAAGCATTGCATTTTCTCTGCTTTTCAGATATTGTGAAGTGTCTCGAAATGAACAAGCTCTTCATCACTTAGAGGTTTTCTAATATTTTTCCTTCCCATTTACCCTGACTTCAGTGTTAAGGATCAGGTTTTTAACCCCACCTGGCTGATTTATCGGGAGGGTTGTCAATCCTAAACCTGCAATATTTTATTTTTTTTAGTTGACCTTTGCAGAATTTTATTTATAAACTTTAAAATATAGACTGCAATTTAGTTTAATTACTATTGTTAGACTTAAATTTTACATTGTAATTGCATTTTAATAATGTTATGTTTCACACTGTGGCACAAATATTATTGTATTAAACACAGGCAAAACAATCCTTATAACAGTGTCAGGAATAAATTATAGCCATTAGATAACTGCCTGCATCCAACATTAGAACTCCGGCTCCAAGCATACCGAGTTAAAGGAGCTGTAACTGTACCCGTCCTGTAGAAGAGTAGGGCGGGAAGTTACATAGTATATCAGGCAACAGAGAAGGAAATATATATATAAGTTGTGCTCATTAAGCCTGGTGAATATTCATACCGGAGCTAATGGTTGAGGGGGATCGCCAAGACTCAGCGGACTTTCGACTGCAGATACTCCAGGTGTCTGCGCTGCAAGTGATTGTCTGTTAACGTTGTTGTTCTGAAGTACGTGCTCTAAGGGACCTGAAGATACTGAATGGAAAGATGGTCCACTTATGCTTGCACCGTTTCTGTAGCGGTTGTAGATTAAGGTACCATGTTCGTCTTCACAAAATTGGTTGACTAATTTGGACTCCAGAGCTGTTTAAAAAAATGTAGAAAAACTCATCATACTGAGAAATTAAATGTATTTTTTCAATTTCAGTTATTTATACACGTAAATAGTAGACATATAATCCAGTACTCCTTTGGATTGTTTACATGCATCTAAGAAGATTATTCCAGGTTCTCTGGATCATGTTTTTTATTTGACACAAATTTGCTAGCCCCTAAGTCCTCTACATGGTACAAAATACAACGGACTCATCTAAACGTGTTTGTCTGAGCTTAGCACCAACAACTAGTTGGTAGTGGGAAAATAACTGCTTACCTTACTTGTGTGAATAACCCACTGAAAATGGGTTATTTCCCAACGGAAGTGAGTAAGTAGAATTTATGCCAGTGGGTTAGATTCTGGTTTCCAGTCCAGCAGATCTATGGTGCCTGAGCACTTAATCAGCTTAGAAACCTTGCTAAAACTGTTTTTCTACACTAGGTGACATTCTCTGTTGTCATGATTATCATTGCCCTCTACCATGACTCTCTAATGAAGAGAATCTGTTTCTCTGGGTTCATATTACTGTGCACCTTGTGCCTAACCCTGATTGGCATCAAAACCTGATTTCCACAAAGATCGTGTGTGTCCCCCCCGGCCCCTGTTCTGAGAAGCATTAAATACACCGCAGAATGAAACTGCAGTGAACGCACCTGGAAGGGTATTGAAGTCATCTATGAGGTACATGTGTTCCCTGTCTGGATCTGAAGCAATCAGGTTTAGTTCACGCACAAACTCGACCTGTGTTGGATCTGAAGTATTTACGATTCCTATTGCATACATTTCGATGTTTGCCGCGTGAGCCTCTCGAACAACGATGTCTAGTTTGACAGCTTCTCTCTTGTCTGCTTGGCCATCTGTTAGCACAATAGCCACTTTTCGCACTCCTGTTCGAGCACCAAAAAATCCTTCCTGGGTTGCTTTACGGATAGCAGTTCCTGTGTAAGTGCCTTCTCCCATGTACTGCATTTTTCTAATCGCTTGCTTAACGTCCTGTTGAGTTGTATACTTGCTGAGACCAAATTCTAACCGAACCTCTAAACTGTATAACACAAGGCCGATTCTGGTAGCATTTCTGCCTACGGTTACTCTGTCTACTAGAGCAGTTACAAAGTCTTTGATAATCTCAAAGTTTTCTGGTCCCACACTCTCAGAGCTGTCAATCACAAATACAAGCTCCATCGGAATTTCCTTACATTTAATACCACAACCTGCAAAATAAAAAACAAAAAAAAAACCACACCCAAACAGATCATGATGGTATCTTTTTGGAAGGGAGATGAATGTAAATGTAATAAAGAAAAACCAGAATCTGAAATACGGTTTCCTGAGTACTTACCACATATCTCTTTAATTAATTTAATTATATCTTCTCTCTGGATATGAAAAAATAAAATACAGAAATATTTTACAATTTGCCTCTTTCAACTGAGTGTCAAATTTTCCATTTCAGCATAAAGTAGATGAGAAAAAGTCAGAAACCTTTGCGCGGTTTCTTTCTATATTATTACTGAGACCACTTCTAGTCAGAAGGCTCTTTCCAGAATAATTAACATAGGATACCTTTTAGCTGGTAGAATCTTGCATTTTCTTTGTATCTTACCTTAATGGGGTTTAAACAATGGAATTTGCTTACTGTTAGGCCTTGCTCTCCCTTAGGTCCAGTTTTGCCCTGTAACAGTGATTGTTAATTAAGCTACTGCAATTAGTTATTAACATTGTAATTCAGAATATGTCTTCATCAATACCATTATTAAAATAATATCTGGCCAATAAGAAGTTTGGCTATAAAAAGTAGTATTCTTGTGGTATTACATGTGCATGTGGTATCTCTTAAGGTGGTGAGGTTTTTATGGAAATTGGATGACCACAAGTCTTCCACTGGATCGCTGGTTGTCAGTTTACTTGAGAAGGTCAGGATCTGTGCAAAGCTTTCCTGTGTACCACGTTGTGTCTGTTCCCTCTCTCAAGAGACTGTATGCCTGACACCCTGGAATGATCAGAATTCTGCTTCCTCATGTAGGGCTAGTGTCAGGGCAAGAACGGCAATGCTGGTTATGTATCCCTACGTAATAGTATGCAAATGTCAGAATGGAAGGGCACCACATTTTGCTTTCCAGCTTTTGGGGAGCTGCTCATTGGCAGAAGTTACCATTTTGCCTCCCTCCATCTGTTCATCAGCTTTGAGGGAAAGTCTGAGCTATAGTTACTTGGTAGCCGTGGAATAGAACTGCATCCTTAAACATGCAGTTTGCCATGTCTTAAAACATGGCAAATGTATTTCACTGCCTTAAGAATGAAGCCACGTCTGTGGGGCATGGGGTATTGAGCATGGAAATGTCATCTTGGTGCTTTTAAAGCCTTTCATAGTTTCAATTTAGGTGTTTCAGATTATGTGTAGTTAAATAGAAAGATGATAAACCTGAGTTACTCACAGGTTGTCCAGATAAACCAGGGTCACCCACATCACCTTTTTCTCCTTTTTTCCCCTTTTCACCTGTAGCTCCTCGATCTCCCTTTAAAACGATGTTGGTAAGCACAAAGTGCAAGTCAGTTTTTATTACACTTTTCACATTTCTCTCTAGCTGCCTTCAGCTTCTGACATGAGTTAGAAATCTTATTTAGAGATCATTTAAATCAATTGGTGTTTGTGAGTTTTGTGAATAGCCTGTAGCATGGGCTAGGCATTTCTAGGGGAAAAAGTAGGTGAAGCAGTTTGAACAATGAACAATCTCAAACAAGTCCATGCAGACAGGGGCTTCATGGGGTATTATCGCATGATGGAAATGGTTATCTGTGTCTGAGAACAATAAGATAACAGTAGAGAAATAGAGAAGAAAAGAAAGGATGTAGTTGGAATGAATAATGGGAATATCACTCTCAGAAACATGTTGGCTCAGAAATAGAAAATAGATGAATTAGTGCCTCCTGGTTTGAGATTCAGTAGGCTATGAGACTTTGTACAGCCTTTCTGAGATGGTGTGATCACATCCAAAAACTGATTCCAACTCACATTTCCCTTTCCTAACACTCAAGTAGTCCCCAGGTTTTGCATAGTGGTGGGTAAAAGAAAGGCAGTGATAGTAAATAGTAAATCTAAAATCTCTATTTCTTCTAATTGCACTAGAAGATAAGCCTCATGATATTAAAATAAACAATACTGAAAGAGCTGCTGCTGTAAAGTATTAAAATGATCACATGAATGACTAGAGTTTTCCCAAATCCCCATTCCCTTTCCACAGAATTCAGCATTCAATGAGAGCTGACTGTAACAAGCATTTTCAGTATGCTGGTTTTGGCCTAGGACATTACCTCTGATTTAGGTATCATACCTTTTGTCCCAAAAGCCCTTCCCCAGGGGGGCCTCGTGGTCCTGGCATTCCTTGAATTCCTTGTTCCCCCTAATGATAATCCAGGAAGTGATATTAACCCTTTGTAATCGTTCATCATACATTAATTTTAAATGTTCAAAGAGAAAGTGTTCCAACCTGCATTTTAACAAGTGTCTTGAAGCACTTGAGACAATGTAGTAGCTAGCTTATATTTCTCCAATATTTAATCAGTATATCTACTCTAAAGATCTATAATATGGAAAAACTGCATGATCATTATTATATAAGAAACAATGTGAACTCTCCCTAGCACTGTGATGGTCGGACTGACCACTCAACACAGGTTAGACATCGAATCAGTGAGCCTTTTTACCTTAATTCCTTGAATACCTTCACCAGGAGGTCCCAGAGAGCCAGGTGGCCCTGGCCGTCCTATGGTTCCCTAGAGAGAAACCCTGCATAAGTTAAATACAATATTCATAATGAAAATGCACAATGGATTGTTATACCACCATGTAATTTCTTGTCCATCCTCTAACAAACTGATGTCTTTTTATAGGTAGTGAGGCTAAGATTGCTCTACCTGATAAGGGCTCTTTTTATCCTTTATCAGGTTATTAAAATCCAGTTTATACTTCAGAGGAGTCACTCAGGGCTTAATCATCATTGAACATGAATCACCTTGCTGATTGAGATATATGTTGAACTGAAGGATGGATTGCATTGGTGGGACACTGGGCACTTGAATTAAGATTTAGCAGAGTATTATTGTTATTTTCATCACTGTTAAGCTTACACAGTAAGACCTATAGACACATACACTAATGTGGCATTGCAAATAAGCACTTGCTGCTAATTTGTAAGCTGTTTTTAGAAGAACTCTAGAGAAAATGTTTCAGTTCCATATGTTATTCATAGGAAGCAATCAAAACCCACATAGTACAGTATTAATTTTATACCTCTATTGCTATTCTAGTATCCCTGCATGAAATTCTCCATTTCCTCATTCGTTAGGATCCTTGGGACTAGCACGGGCTGGGGAAGCCCTTCACCACTGCGTAGCTGTGGACCTAGCCTTCATGCTGACATGAACTGGGTCTCTGGGACTAATGAGCCACAGTGTGCAGGTAACACATAACTACGTTGCAAAGACTTTGCATTTGACCTTATTCAGTTTGTTTACATTCTTAAACTTTTTTGTTGTTGTTGTATTAATAAACTTCTAAAGCTGAGCTCTTATGTAGGACCATAAGAGTTTCCAGTTTGGGAGACTTCATAGTGAAAATTGCTTCCTATAGTTTACAGTTATTTCCAGGCTTTTGTCACGGTGTTATAGTTACAAAAATAATCCTTTTCTGGTAATTAGATGATTATTGGTCAATAGATGATTATTGATTTACTATACACAGTAAAAAAGAGGAATTAATTCCAGAAGAACTCAACCGTATGCCTGTAGCTGTAACAATAGTTCAGGCAAGACATGGTAAGTGTTTGCCAGGCTGTTCATTCTGACCAATGCTAGGTCTGAAGAAATTTTTGCTATTCAGTTGCAGCTAATGTCTGCAGGAGCTAAATGTTTTGTCACTGATCTTCACTGCAAGATTATCACTTCATAATTTATTGTATTATCACTTCATAATTTATCATATGCAGTAGGCAGAAGGCCATGATTTATGGCTAGTCACCAGAAATATTTTTGATTTTCCACATAATAAAGACACTGTATTCCTTATAAGTTATCTTGTTTGTTGGATTAGTTGTTTCTAGTGAAGAGTGAAGACAGAAAACATGTAGATGTGTATGCATGTTCACACATTTTTATACTTTTTTTTTTGTTATTATTATTTAGAAAATAAACAACAAATAATTTTTTAAATGGCTTACTTTTGGTCCTGGCAGGCCTTCTCCTGGGGGACCTGGGAGACCAACTGGTCCTCTATTACCGGGATCACCCTGAAAGTTGATACTTTAAAAAATAAGTAGTGAATACCAAAGCTTAATTTATCTCTAGAATTCCCAGTACCTGTTGCACTAAAATGGGACAAAGAGAGGAGAATTATTGGACAGCACAGTGCAATTCTAAACAATGCTAACTCATGAATACTGCAGGCCAGACAAGAAAGTTATGGGGGATAAACATTGGGTAGTGGTCTAAACATATTCAAGACATATACAGTCAATTATGGAATCATTCCACAGGAATTACCATTGAATGAACTCCAGATTCCCCAAACAACAACACAGGAAGTTTTTCTTGCTGCCTGTCAGTTGAATGAGACAGTATGTTCATACCAGCTTTGTTCCTACCTGCACCTTCAGACAGCTAGGGGTTTGAAATGCGTGGAAAAAAGATCTGTGTCCTTTTAAGAGACATTAAGCATATTTAAATAGCTGTAGTCAATCCCTCAATTGCTTGTGTAATTCCAGCAATACTACAGTCAGCATCAGGGTGAGTTCTGAAGTGAAGCTCGAAGATCTTCTATGGGACCTATCTTTTATATACTGACAAGCAAATTAAACTTGGATTGAAAAGGTATTCTGACTGTAACCTATGGGTAGGAATTATATCTGCATGAACTAGAGTACACACATGCATTTACTTTTCTAGAAGTTAAGGTCTGTACCTTAGGTCCTGGTAGTCCGACTCCATCTGGGCCTGGTTCACCAGGAATCCCAGGAAGGCCTGGCAAGCCCTGAAATTATATGCACAGACAGAATATTAATTTAAATTATGACTATATTGACTACATGCTTTTGTTAACATTAGCATGGTAGTATCTTGAACATATTGTTTCTTTTGGGGATCACTGTGGTCTCCAACTGGTTAAATTCTACTCCCCTAAGCCAGAAGTGGTGTCAGTGGTGTTTGTGTGCATGCTGCATGTCACGCAGGAGGCTTGCATGTGTTTGAAGACAGAGGAGTCTGGAAAGGCAGGTGCAGAAGCAGTTCTGCATCAGATTGCACAAAAATATCAGGAAGTTTTATAAATTGAATTCCAATTTCCGTTTCAACATTCATTAATTTTTATTCCTCCATGTGGCAATTACATGCACTTTACTGTTGTCTTTAGCACAGATGAATGCTAGTGTATCACCCAACTCCCTGACTTTAGCCAGCAATCTTCCTGGGACTTCCTCACTGCACAGAGTAACTGCCAGGGCTGATGGAGCACGCTGTCGAGCAGACTAGCTGCATGTGGCCAGTGCTGTGTACATGTGCAAGGAAGGGAGAGGAAGGAGCCTTTTCTTCTTCTCCTGAGTGCTTTTTGCAGGGATTGGGCCTATGTGCCAGTAAAGACCTCTGCAAAGGGCTATAAGAGGATCAACCAGTTCTTTGCCACACCTTCAACAGCCTGATGAACAGAACAGAGGACAGTTTGCTCTGCTGGCTCTTCAGACAGTAGTTGCTTTTTCAGTGGTTCTGGAAGACCCTGAGTTCAGATCCATGCACGCAGCTGCTTAGCTGGGCTATATTCTCCCATTTGGGAATAAATTTTGTATGGTTGGGAAGAAGATAGTACCTTACATCAAGATACTGAGAGAACTGATTGAAACATGGGTGATACTGTTGGGAAAAATAAAAGGCCCACTTAGAATATGTTACATTGTGTAGTCAGAAGAGTGCAGGAAAGGAAAGTTCTTGTACTATTTCAGAGGGAGATTTCTTTTTTCTTCTGTGCTGAAATGCATTTCTACATTTGAGAGGCCTTTTTAGGCTTTTAGACAAGCAAATCTTTCCTAGCATGTCAGCCATGGAGGTTTCTCACTTTGGTGTAGCACCTATTTGTTCCCAATTCACATAAAAAGATTGTCTGTGAACTTACAGGTGGGCCAGGATAGCCATCTCCTTTTGGCCCAAAGGGCCCGGGGGGTCCTGGAAGACCTCGGTCACCCTGATGGAGGCAGAAAAAACAGCTGAGGTGAATGCCAATGCCATTGCTAGCAGGAAATTTTCCACGAACGTGAAACTTCTTTGGGAAACATACTGTAAGTTGAAATTATCTGCCTGTCTATCTGCTAATGTATTTTACTGTGTGAATGATTATTGTAGGTTATTAATCCTGGACTAAAACTGTGATATTTAACAGTGCTGAGAATTTACAGGACCTTTCACTTCTAAGTCACTAATCTGAATTTTTTCCAAGAGCTCTGTCGTCATTTGTGGCCTACATGTAAGAAAGAATGACTTCAGTGTCATTACCCATATTTTTATCATGATTACTGTTATTCCAGCTTTAGGGGAACAAGCCCAAATTAACAGACAGCCAAAAACAGTCTAGCGTGGGAACTGAATTATTCAGTAGCTACTTTAGGTAATTCTTATAACTGAAAATAGATAGATAAACTGCTGTAGAGCATTGGGAGAAGTCTGTGCAGCTTCTGCACATGCTGTATTTTTGGGTGGTGAGACACAGGATGTAGGTCAGGCACAAGCAGTGGTTTGTGTGGCCAGTTTAAAAATGTTGTTTTCTATCACAGGTTTCTGTCTCTTTTGTTGTTCCAGAATTGTATTTTCCTGTAATGCTGTGGAACCTCATTAAAGTTATTGAGTATAACAGGAGTTTGCTACAATAAAGCTCCTTTCATGGATCCACATAGGTGGAGTATATCAGGCACAGATTTACCAGGGAAACTAAGAGGACTTTAACCCTCCCAGCCGTACTGGATGGTGCAGTGAGTTGCTCAGTTACAACTGGATGGATGATTAAGATTGTGTTTGTCTGTGTAGCTACCCAAAATTTGGGCATGCATAACAGTGGCATGGGAAGGCCCATGCAAAAATAATTAAAAAAAAAAAAAAAGAGGCTGTAAAAGGTTTTACCCTGTTCATCTTAGTGCAGACTGAAAGAGGTCGGGGGGCTCAAGGCTGAGGGAGGGAGAATTTCCACTCTGAGCAAATGACCTGCTTCCTTTTGATTGATTCCTGTTGGACTCCCAGAAGTATGACAACATGCAGTTCTCTGAATTAACTGGACTGTACCATAAAAGTACGTGATTCCATCATCATTATCTCCTCCTGATGAAAATAAATTTAAGGATCTTGAAAACCACTAACTGATCAAAAAGGGATAGAGATCGTTACATGTTTCTCATGCTCCTGTTACTGTGTTCAATTCACTCAAAGAAAAAGGGATAAAGGCTTTATTCAAAAGTACTGTTAAATTCACTAAGTGAAAAAAAAAGGGGGTGGGGGTGGTGTTTGGATCTGGTTTATTTTGAGAAACACAGATTTATATGTCCCAAGTTTCTTGGTGTTCACACAAAATCAGCCCTAGAATGAAGAGCAGCTTGCCAAAATTGAATCTAGGTAACACTAAGGCAATTCCAGAGAAGTGTGAGAGGGAAGTCCTTAGAGATTAGCTACTTGTTTATGTTCTTCTTCCACTACTTAAGGCATCTCTTTGGACATAGCCACTTTGGCCATGTTTTGAGATTGTTTGGGAGTCTGTGGATTACCCTGTGTCAAAATTAGGAATGAAGCAAAGGGGCCTGGCTGAGAAAAAAATAACTGTGCTTGACAGGTAGGCTGTTTAAGCACATAAATCAGGTGTTCTCTCTGTGTTTACTCCTCATCAATTAAAAACAGTCATTGTTTTCCTGGTTCACTGCCATATGAAAGCTCCATGGTTTGTGGAGTCTGGAAGATTGACCATCCATGGTTTTCTGGCTCTGATAATCCTTATATTCTGCTGTGTTGTATGACATGCACTTTTAGAACTGCAGAATACTTGGTCATCCTAGGTGATTTGCTGTTGCTTTGCTGAAATCCTGCCTTATTTTACAGTTCTATCAGAAATTAGTTTACCAATTTAGGTGCTACCTTTGCCCCAGGAAGCCCAAAACCTGGTTCTCCAATTGGTCCAGCAAGACCAGGTAACCCAATGTCACCCTGAAATGAAGAAAATACATACCCTAGTTATGTATTTTAGTAAACACCGATCACAGACTATGTTTTTGGGTTTCTGTTATACAAATTTATATATACCAAATGTAATAGCCTTTTTTCTTTGCACGCATTAAGTGCCAAAAGCAGAAGAAAGGAAAGTACTTGATATTCACAGCTACCCAAGACAAAGAAATGAACATAGCTAGGCCACACCTCAAGCTGGCATACAGTTAATACCAGGGCATGGTGGTAACTAGACTGGATACAATCCATAACTCTGTCTGGAGGAAAGAAGAAGTTTTAGTTGACCTTATAAGGCTAAAATGATGTACACAAATAATAGCATGGCCTCCTGCACAGTTTTCACCTTGTGTTTATAGGCACTAGGAGCTGGAGTATGGATGTTACCTTTGGTCCAGGCACAGCTCTTCCAGGAGGGCCTGGCATTCCAAGACGTCCTGGCACACCAGGCTCTCCCTGTAGTGAAGGAAGGAGAGCAAAACCAATGGATTTTTCTGAAAGTGAGCATGAGCATCTTGTAGAGAAAACATTCAAGCAACGATTTACAATAGTCCATTAAAATTCTATTGGAATTTCTAGTATTCTATTCTATGTGGAGTGAAATCTGAGCATTTGAAGAACTGAGAGCAAGCATAGTTCTGATTTCTCAATGGAAATTATATTCTCAGTTACAGAAGTCCCTTTCTTAGTGTATTTGAGACTTGGTCCAGCACATCCAGCACTCAAGGCTTCCTGATCAGCTGTGTAGTTACACTGAAAACATATCTATTTTTCTGTTAGAGTAGATTTTTTTAAATAGTCCTTTCAGCATACCATTTTGTCCCTTTTTATTTCTCCTCTCACTCGTGTATAAATAGCAGAAGGCTTATTAAGAAGCTGGAGGAGAAACCTGAAGTAGCACTTCTCTCCCTTTCAGTGAGTACTGCGTATTTGAATAGCAACTCCAAGTCCATACAAGAATATCAGCCATGGGTCAGTGTAAGGGAAAATAAAGTCCCATCACATATGTATATGACATACACCATGCTGTCTTCCCAAATATTTCCGTATAAAAATACCAGTATTAGTGTCCCTTAACTTTAAACAAACTGACATGGAAACAATATGGTAAATGCAAAGTTTTTTAAAAAATGCTTCTAGATGTTTATAGGGATCCTGGTGTGTCTTGCGAACAGAAGCCTGAGCTGACCTCTTTTTCTTTTTTTTCTCCCAATTGTTTTTTAAGAAGTAAGCTCATTCTGGGACAGTTGTTTCTGAAATCTAGAACAAAGCGCAGCTTTGGGGGACTATTTTACACACATAACCTGGAAATAAACATACTTTAGCTCCAGCAGGTCCAGGCACTCCTGTTGGTCCTGCTAATCCACGTATTCCTCTCTGACCTTGATCTCCCTGCAAAAGCAGACAAGACATGTCACACATACCAAATAATATTAAGAATGTGTTAACTGAAATGAATTGTAAATAGCAGTGAAAGATCGTGAAGTTCTATCTTATAGCTGGTAGGAATGAGCTGTTCCTATTGCTTTCATTGGCAAGTCAGTTAATTCTGGTCAGTAACAGTCCAGTTTTGAATTTGTACAGTTAAAACTATGTAGATTTAATCTGAAATTAAATTAACTGACTTACCAGTGAATACTGTAGAAAAAAAAAAGAACCAAAAGGAGTCTTAAAGAATGCATCCTTGCAGCTGAAGAATCAATTTAAGTAATTACATGAAAAAGATACTATCTGACAGAAGTAATCAAAACATAAAGATAATTCACTCAAAGGTATTTTTTTTAATTCAGAGGCAAATAGGGCAAATCAACTGACCACAATGCCCTCTCTGATTGATCAGCTTGTACTTCTGGGCAGAAGAATCTAAGAATAGATAGTGTAAAGTTTGTAAAGGGATGACTGCTATTTAAGCATATTATTGGGCTGTAATAATTACAACAGAAATTAAACAGCTACGAGTCCAGAACATTTCTGAAAAAAATTCCAATACAGTAATTAATTTTATTTCTGCATCTTCTGCATGCATTTCCTACCAAAGTAATCTGAAAACAGGTGGATGCCTTGATTTTCCATCCTATACTTTTTTAGCCCTTCCAGCTTCTTGCAGATGTGATACTTGGTATCTTTATTTCTCTTCTCTTGTGACATCTAATCTCTGTATGTCTTGTCCAATGTCTTGGGCAACTATTCCAGCAATTTCCAGTGTCTGTTTCACAGGATACCAGTGATGATATGAGAAACCAGAATTACTTCTCCATCTGTGAATCGGTACAGAAGACCAGTACAAGAGCCAGAACCTAAAAGATAGACCCAGTTATTCCTACTAAGAGAAGTAGTATTCCCAGCAAGGGAATGAATGCTCTTTGTGAACATCTTGGACCAGGTACTCCCACAGGCACTGGAAATTGTGGGCCACTGAACTTTTGTGGTGTCATTTCTGAAAAAAAAAAAATATGAAAAAGACATCCTGGGTGGTCTTTTATTAACTTTGTTATTTAAAAAGTTATTGGTTTAGGCTGAGGCTGAAATTAACTCTGCAGTTAACGACTTTTAGCAGCACTCGTTAACCTATTCCTTGAGGTATAATTTTTTGTTTCTTATAATAGACCAAAAAAGAAAAGGCTTTGACAAACCTAGTTCTGGAACATAACAATTCTGAATGTCACCTTTAGTAAGAAATTCTCACCTTCTCCCCCTGTATTCCAATCCCTGGAACACCTTCAGGACCTCTAAGACCAGGTAACCCTGGTTCACCCTGGAACAGAAGAGTCAAAGCAGCATTTCAGAGAACTGCATAGACATAGTACAAGATCAACTCTGTATTACTTGAATAAGCTCATTAAAATTACAGGCCTTTTAGAGTCAATGGCAAAACTCCCACTGATGTCAGGGGCCTGGGATTTTCTTCCTACATTCAGGAGCAACCATTGTAAAACTCTGGGTGGAATGTATGAAGTAGCCTGTTTCCTTAGGGATAGCCAAACACTCTGAGTATGTTATCTTTAAATACATGGGGTTTCTGATTCTAGGGAAATACTCTGATCAGAAGGCCATGAAAGGTTGCCCATAGCCATTTTAGTGGTTTCCCTTCTGAGTTGCAGGGCATTTGGAGGACTTAAAAAAGCCAACAACTGTAAACAAGGTAAGACAACCCTCTACCCACCCACCCCCAGCCCCAAAAGGAAAAAGTTTTCCCTGAAAAACTACATTTGAAAAACATTTTTTTTTTTCCACGGAAAAATGTGTTACTTTTCCTCTTGTCCACGAACACTCTCTCTTCTAGGTTTGGGTATTGGCACAGGGAGAACAGTAGGAATGCTTGGAAGGAAGCATGTAGATTGCAGACAGAGGTGAACCAACCTTTTGTCCAGGGGCTCCATCTTCTCCTGGAAGACCGGGCAGACCTGCCAGTCCTGAAGGGCCTGGCTCACCCTGACATCAATTAAAAAGTAAGTCCTTCTATTAAATGCAGACTTGGTACAGTTCTTTCTTTGAATCAAGGAAATCTATTTCACGAAGTTTACTAAACTGTATATATATTTATAGCAAATATTTCTGTATATGGACCCAAATCTTGTTGGTTTTTATAAAGACCACTCTCATGTATTTGGAACCATCCCACTCTCTGTTTGAACTGTATGTTTTATCTGTGCAGTTAATATTATTAGCTACTAATGATCCAGCTCATTATTAAACAGTAATGTCATCATTTCATGAAGGGGCAGCATTTGAAGTAAATATGAGATAGAGCTGACTGTGACATGATGATTGACATCTTGCTGGTGAATATCATTGCAAATCTGTTAATGGCAGTGGAATTGTCATCCGCCTATTTATGTAAGGTTTAAGAGCCTGACATGGTTTTAGATGAAATGGAATCATCTGCAGTCAAATGGGTTCACCTAGCATTACCATATTTTTTTAAATTAAAGAAATTGAATTATTTCTTTCCTTTTCCAACCCCTGTCCCAAACCCCTAACATACATGAGCAAAACCAGGACAGTCCTGTGCCTTTCCACAATCGCAAAAAGTACTTTTTCATCTATTCCCATATTTTATGTTAATTTGGCTGTTAACGGCATAGGAGCTGGTTAACATCTAGGTCACTTCAGCGGTAAGATAATCTGGTTACAGCTTCCTCTCCTCTAAGCAAATGTGCTTTCTGTCTAGTAGCACAGCTTATTTCCTGTACGAAGGTGTGAGGGCATAGCTGCTGCTCTGTTTACATCCCACCCTATGTGAAAAGGGAAGGAGCAGCACAATAACCACTCTTCAGTGCTTTTTTGCACCAGTGCTGGCTATAGCTTAGCTTATGCTGGAGACTGCGAGTTCTGGCAAGGGTTTAATACTCTGGATGGTCTCCTGGAAAGAGCTGTAGGTGAGCTGTATGCAACACTGACTTGAGCATGGGCCAGGCAGGTGGAAATTTTCAGTCACTATGAATCTTACTACTTTTGTACAGAACTGGTGTATTTAAAATGCTCATTGAAAGTCTGTGTTAAAACTTTTAAAGACTAAGAACCTAAATTTTACTTCTAAACCTATTTTAAGTGCCTACAGAAAGGATACTCAGGAAACACAAATTTCAAATCTGAATAAGTAAATGAATTAAATAATTCCTCTATTAACAATGTACCTTAGAACCAGGTTCTCCAATACCTCTTTCTCCTGGCACTCCAGTCTCTCCTGGCAAGCCTTGTTCACCCTTAAGGAGAAATTATTTTTTAACAGCATTATCATGGAAAAATATAAAAACATATTCCTGATTGCTTATATTCAAAGGAAGATTAGTGTGACATTGTCTTTAGTATGATGTGTAAGAGGTGCTGCAAAATACTTGACCTGGTGTGGACCCTTGACCCACTTACACCTCTAGTTCCTTTACACTATGCTTTAATAGCTTTCAGTCAGTCAGAACTTTGTCTGTCACCTCTTTCAAAAAATGACTTCAAATCTCCACTCCCAACACTTCAAGGGTGACGTCTTTCATTAACAGGTCTGTATTTTGGGAATCAGTCAAGGCTAACTTATTCTGGCAGTTTTCCTTCTGCAAAGGTAGTCTTCATTATACCTTGGGCCATTCTTAACTGCCAGAGACAGTAAATACACAAAGTCAGGTAAGACAACAGGCAGCAGAAGTTACAAGAAAGGTACCCAATCTGTAAGGTATGTATGTATTTTCCTGGAATGGAAATAATACAGCAAGGATAAAATATGATACTGAAATTCTGGGTGGTGTTCTGTGTTAAGTGCAACTGTTTTTTGGAATTGGTTCGGTGCACCTGCACCTGATCTGATGAAACTGCAGGTTCAAGGCAGAAAACCCTTTATATGGAAATAAATCGAACAAAGTGCAGTTCGCTGTCTGATATGTGGTACCTCAAAGGCTCTGTGGTGAGCCAAGCCAAAACCTAAACAGATAGCTAGGCATTGGTTTGTCAAGGCTTTTCAGTGGAGTAGGATCTGCTGTGCAGTTTAATAATATTAATAAAGAAAATAATCTCCTGCAGCTATGTCAATACTTAGGTTGGTGTACAGCACTTTAACAAGCATAAAGATAGAGACAGACCATTTCTTAATCAGGAAGCCTAACAGTGAAAACAGCACAGTAGCTCTAAGTTCAGCAAATTCCCTAACCTTTGGTCCAGGTAGTCCCTGCCCTGGTAGCCCTCTAGAGCCGGGTGGTCCTTTTGGGCCCTCCACTCCCTGAAAAGATTAGTTAAGCAATTATTAAAATAAAATATTCTCTGTTACTACACATTCAGGTATGGGGCAAGGGAGAAGTGAAAACTGCACCTTCTCTCCTTGAATTCCAATTCCAGGTAATCCAATTGGCCCAGGTAAACCAGGAGGACCGAATTCACCCTGCCAAACAAAGTAAATTGCTTAGTGTGTAAAGACAGAGAAACAATCTGGTACAGGTCCCATGCTAGTACATGTTGGCTTAACCTCTCTTGAAGCTGGTGAACCTGGGGATCTTTCATACATGCATTTATTCCCTGCTGGTTCCATTGCAAACAACTGCTAGTCTCTTTTGCCCTTTCTAAACCTTAACTTTCCCATGGAATCAGATGCTTTTTGTAACATTTCCTATTTTAATATGAAGAGATGTTGAAATAGTTTGGGTGAGTTTATTTGGCATAAATCTCTCTACAAAATAACTTACTGTCCAGGGTCTATTGTGGGTTCCTTGCCTCATTACACCTTTTGTAGTGAGTATCAACCCTGTATTCCCTGTATTATGTAGATTTATTGGCACTTTATTAATCCACTGGTGTATTTACTGCTCACCTTTTCACCTTTTATGCTGATGCCTGGAAGTCCACGAGGGCCTTTTGGTCCATCAAAACCACGGTCTCCCTGCATGAAAAAATAGTATGTTGTTAACTGTAGAAACACAGAGCTGTTTCCTCTGAAGTAACTAGAGACACTGCTCTGTCATCATGAAAACCAACACAAGAAGAACCAGAATGCAGCTCCTGGATCTCTTTTCCAGGATGCCAAAGAGGTCATCTTTTCAAATAAGCTTGCTCTGCAGTTTGAAATTGCTGATGAAAGACCTGAACAAGCTTCTTTTTATCTTTCTACCCACCTTGACTGCTTAAGATCCTGTACTGCTTCCCCTCAAATCAATGGCAAAACCACAGCTGATCTCAGTGTCAGCAGGGCTGGGTCCTGAAACTAACTGAAACCTAAATTCTCATTTCAAACCTTCATTTCTCTCAGGGGTTAATCTCACTGAAGTGAGGCCATGAGGATCTGACTCTGACTAAGAATTTTGCCAGAATAAAGGCCAGGCCAAACTGTATTGTTGAGTGTTTGTAAATGTCACTGTCTTTCAAAACGTTTATTTACAAAACAGTTGTCTTTGGGAAAATGCTGGTTTTCCCCAAAGGACACAAATACTGTGCTTTCTTGTACTTCTGTTAATAAAACATCTAGAGGCAGATGGTTACCTACCTGTGTACATGGTCACAGAATCACCCAAAGCAATAAAGTTATGCCCCAGACAGGTCTTTTCTCTCCCTAATAACCAATTCCATCATTTTAACTTTGACTGAAATACATTATGTGGATTTCTGTTCAAAATAACATTCTTTACTCCTGATGCTTTAGAACACCTGCCTTCATTTTACTTTTTACTGAACTGTGATCTTCTACTAAAAACTTCTGAAGAAAGCAACTGAAGAATTTGCTACAGATTAACAAATCACCTGTTTAAAATGTGTTTAAAAATAAAGAACTGACATACTTGGCAGCCATAAGTAGGATCAGAGATACCTATAGACTCTGCTGATAAACGCTTGGCTCTAGGTCAGATTTGGCAGTAAAAAGTAGTATATCTTTTATAGAATCAAGGGTTCAGTATTGCTGGCAGAATTCCACTGTGATTATTGTATTCTGCCTATTCCAGTTGCTCAGTAGTTTTGGTTAGATTATGCATTCTTCTGTAGTTGTCCCCATTGTTGCTGTGATTTACTCATTAACTGTAGTGTTTCTTCCCACATGAATTGGTATTTCAGTGGAAATGGAGTGATTTCTAAATGCATTTTCTTCAAATTGTCCTTTTGTTTCTTTTCATGCCTGACATCTGCTAAGCAAATGCAAACCATCAACAATGATAATTTATGTAGTGCATCATAAAATAACCGGATGTTAAAAGAGATTGTTGCCAGTATCAGTCAAATTTAAACCTGGCTGACTACAATATTGTATTAAGCAAAAATCCTAAGATTTTTATTAAAGAGGCAGTTGGGGCCCTGCTCTGCAAAACTATTTTTTATTGTTTTCCCAACCAAAATTGCCTTGGTATGTGCATAAAAAAGAGTGAACTGTTTAGTTATTTATTTAGCCTATGTACAAGCTCTGTCACTTTGTTATTTTAACCAAAGGTCAAATTGGGAGTTGGTTTTCATTGGGCAGCAAAACGAGCTAGCAGTGGGTGTACTAAGTCCATCCATGTAGGTTTAACTGCTACTGTCATTTCTTTCCACTGTATCTGAAATTTAGTAACAGCAGCTTCCTCTTCCCACAAGCTGAATTCAGACTCTGCTAAAATGCGCTGCCAGTTGATGGGGTCTTTAAGAAGCTTGGAAGCCTGTCTTTAATGACAGCAAAGATCTCTCTATATAAGGCTTTAGGAAAAAACAAGATACATTTTTTTCATCTAGGAATCACTTTTATAATATTTTATTTAAAGTCAGATGCTCAAGGCTGTTTTAAAATTATAGCTGTCAGGTGTCAGGTGAATTGAATGTTGTCTTTATGGGCTCCAAAGGCTAGCTGTGCTTAGAAGTCATGTTTGGACCAACTGAATTCTATGAGAATATATCAGGTTAATTGATGCCAAATTTTAATGTTAATTTACAAGCTGCTATCTCAGATTCCGTTGTCTGCTATGGACTTGCTTTTGCATGCACTCACTTAATGGTGCTGGTCTGATCTTAAAACTGCTGTACCTTTGTTCCTGGAAGCCCTTCTCCTGGTGAACCTCTTTCTCCTTGAACACCTTGTGGTCCTTGAGGCCCCTGTTAACAAAAATTTATAATGGCCTAGAATATGTGTTAATCACTCAAATCAACAGCAGCATGTTCTGTATCACTGTTGCTTTTAAGCACGTCTTTAAATGTTGGGGTCGTTACAACCTGTTAAAAATAATGCAGTAATATGATATTCACAGTGAATAAATGATGAGCAGTCTGGCCTGCAGCAATAACAAGGCAGGCAGTTTTACTTTCCTGGCCACTTATGAATCACAGGTTATGTGGCTGAAATTCCTATTCCTTATACTTTTGAATTAACTCCCTAAATTCCTAAAGCAAAATTAGTTTGCTTTACAAATTGTTACTAATCCTCATTAATGTACCAGTATAATCATGAGAGACAGGTAGAACCAGATTAAAGAGCATTCCGGGTAGTACTGAAGAAGATCTCGTTGTAGAGAGATTTGACTGTAATTGGTGAAGAGAGTAATAGCCTGCCCTTCTCTTTTTGAAAGCAGATTTGATTGGAGCATAAAGGGCAAGAAAACTAAAACCTTTCATTAAATCCAAGTCCAAAACCTGTGCATACTGAGCCTGCTTCACAGTGTTTTCCCACATCTGTTTCTTTTGCCTCTGATTTCTTCCTTGAGATTACACACACACCACAGAATGCTGGCAGATTTAGGCTGCATAGCCTGAATACGCCTCTGCTTCTGCCTAGAGCTTTACAGTTGTGCCCAGTTCTTGGGTAAAGATAAATACACTACAGTCAGCCATAAAAAAGAAAACTCTTGAAGCCAATACACTTTAAAGAAAATTTAAGAGACACTTTTAGAATATTGTTTTAAATCAGAATCTCTTGTTATACCAGTAGAGCTGTTGTGGCTAACAAAGATGCACGTCACAGGCACCTCTTCCCCCACAGAGCGTCTCTTTTCTCTGTGCTGTTATTGAAGGGACTCGGGAAACAACACTGTCACACTCTGACAGACTGTCACCACTGGCCTGATTAGTAATGCTCTTTTCTTTGGGCATCTCACTCCTCTCCAGCAGTGTATTTTCAAGCAGGTTTGACATCAGTCAGTTCAGTTACCAAACCATCTTTCTGTTTTTCATAGGAGAACCTCTTTTGAAATGATTTATTACAAATTTTTCAGTGTCAGTGGGCAAAAGCTACTGGACAAAATTTCCCTCATGGTTGCACCAGGGGTCTTTCACCCAGGTGATGAGAAATTGAGTCTGCTGTATTGCAAACAGCTCAGTAACAGTTGCTGTCTGACACTTTGGGTAAAAAGTGATGAAATTGGCATACTGATTTTCTGAACAAGGAGGCTGTGTGTACAAGTACCAGGAAGAGGTAGGAAAAGATTACAGAGCCAAACCTCCTATGAATTATGAAAGTAATTTTTTTTTTTCTTAGATTTCTCCCTCTGTTATCTCCAGTAAAGGTATTACTGGCCAAATTGTCACCTGGGACCACTGACGCAATCTGAGGGACTTTATGGAGGTTGTTTAGATATGAGTTTCTAATGTTATGGTGGTTGAAATGGAATCTCTCCCTCAAAGCCATGTTGATGTTAATGTTCTAATGATACTGGAAAGCAGTCAGCTTCAAAGTTACCACATGTGGATTTGAATCTATCAGCAGACAGATTTATTTAAATATTTATGTGGTTTTGCTTAAGGTGTTGTTTTTGCATAGCTGTTTTGGAGACTAAGATAATTAGAAAAGTTAAGGAGTTGGAAACATTTCAAGTTTATTGAGGGAAATAAAAGTCAGACAGCATAGTACGTATCACAGTGAGAACTAGTGGAAGAAAGAAAACAGATGGTATCATTTAACACACATATATCCCTTTTAACAGCGAAACACAGAGAATTTTTCTTTTCTGTCCTGCTTCCCTCTCACCAAGTAAGAAACAGACATACCAGAAGTCCTGGCTCACCAACTCCAGGTGGGCCAACAGGTCCGGGTCTTCCTGTCAAACCGGTGTCACCCTTTAAGCAAAGATGTGTTTTTAAAATGCCTGATTTAGATATTTTTATGTCTGCAGCATATAACAACTTATCAGGCATTCTCTGCTTGAAATACTTGATGTAGGACAATACAGGAATTGCAGAGAAAATCTGAGTGTCCTCAGAGTCATACAGCATGCAAGACCCAACAGAGGTGGAACTGGTGCAGTTTCACAGCATTAGGAGGCAGCCTCAGTTCTGCAGTTGAGAGAACACCATGTTGGATCTAAACATTAATTATTCCCATCATATTCCTCGTACCTTATGTATCAGTTATTGTCCTTTTCCAAGAAGTCAGTTTTTCTGTCTTAGTGTTTCTGTTTTCTTTATGCCAGTCATCCAAACCAACAAGCCTGTTTTTCACATGATAATTTACGTTTAAAACTATGTGTGCATTTTTACTGAGTCACACACTGCTTAGATTGAATTATTGTCAAGGGTAAGAACTACTGTAAACAAGTCCTTTAAAATACATACTTAAATGTACTTTTTCTTCCCCCAAACACTTTTGATCAGTATACAAAATGCCTTTCCAGTGACATAAAAACAGTATCTGGGGGCTTGAAGTTTCTCATGTACCAGCAAGTACATTATCTCAGCTGTCTTGGTCTTCCTTTTATCCTACAATACATGTAATATAGAAGACGAGAGATGCTTGTACCTTTGGGCCTGGCAGTCCTATTCCAGTCTCTCCAGGCAAGCCAGGTGGCCCAGGGAGACCTCTTTCACCCTTTTAAATGAAAAAAGAAATAATTCTGCTTGTAAATTGGTGTCTAGAGAAAACAGTTAAACTCTGTTGAAAAGAACAAATTTTGAAGTTAATTTTTTGTATATCCTGAATTTCAGCCCACTGGAATTGTCTTACACAGTACTTCATCTGTTCACCCTTTCAATGCTTCAGAATTCCGTTTATTAAGAGTGTAGATATTGCCTGTACAAAATGATACCAGACTAAAAAAAGGAAAAATGCTTCATTTCACGTGGGATAGAGGAGATTTGTTACCCAACTGCTCTATGCCTCACTCCCAGCCAGCAGGTGCTCTAAATATGGGGCAAAGGAGGTATCAAGGGATGATATCAAAAGAGAGAACGTACTTCACAAACTAAGTTTTTCTCCACAACAATATTCCTTTCAGTGGCTGAAGAACCCCTTAGCTGTGGCTGAATCACTCAGTTTAAGGTTTTTCTGAGGAGCAAAGTCTAACTCTAGTCTCCTTTAATGAAGTAAAAACAGTTCCCATAATTGTGTATAATACCAGTGATATTTGCACCTTCCATTAAACTACTACAATAAAGATATCAAGTCACCACAGAAACATGGAATGAAGTCATCTCCACTGGTACTCCAGGAATTTACACTGATTTAAACCCAGAAAATCTTAAGTATTTAATAACTGTAAATTGAATGTTTTTCAAACAAACAATGAAAAAATATTTTATGTTTACAGAGGGGACTGGCTCTTGCAGTGAAGCACTGGGTGATTTCTGTGGCCCATCTTCAGAGGGCCCATTGCAAGACTGTCCTGATTCGCACTCATCATCATGACACTCGTATCTTCTCCTGAGCATCAGTAAACAGTGAGATTACTAATTTTGAGCTACAGAATTCTTCTTGAGAATGTACAGTTTAAAGAGAAGGGTTTGTTTGAGATCCCAAACAGAATTCCCGCTTGGCACTGCGGGAAAAAAATAGTTTTATATTGAAAAGTGAAGAAATGCAATGCTACACTGCTGCTAGGTAGTATTATGTGATGCTGCCATATTTTAACTGTTTATGAGGAAACATTGGAGGGAGTGCAATTTGCACCTGAATCCAATACAAAGAGCAAATGAATACTTTTCTTAGGAACCTTGCAGAATACGAGGAGTGTATGATTTGCTAGCAATGTCTCATTAAACTGCAATCCCTACAAGAAGGGTATGGGGTATAAGGATGAAAGCATTGTTGTTGTGAGGCTGTATTAATACTTATAACTTTAAGAAATAGAGAAGAAAAAATGTGGTTCTTGCCTTTGATCCTTGCAGGCCTTCAGGCCCTTGATCTCCAGATTGTCCTTGTGGACCCTATTAAAACAGAAATGTTTTTAATGAGATTTTTTAAGCTTTCAGAACAACGGCAGTTTGAAAAACAATATCTAATTTCCTGTAGTCTGCATGAAAATGAGTTACAAACATTTTAGAACAGAAACTTTACTTTCTGATACATGTATAGATACAGTTATTCAACTCAGTTGGAGCTGGGTCTGGTAATCGGGGAACAGCATTTTGCTCTCCTTTTATCTGAATACAATTAAAGGTAATTTATAGGCAAGCTTACTGAAACATCTATGATGGGCTCAGCTTCTCGGCCTTCAGACTGAGAGTATATGAAAAAAGACTAAAGTGTATGCATGTACTTCCCTGAGATAATGAAATACCTAAGACACAGAATGGGAAATGAGGTTTTTTGAACTGTATTTGCTGTGGTCTTTGAGACTAAATCAATTATAAGGATGATTTATTTGTCTAGACTGCTCCTCCAAATTCTTGTTAATTTTGCTCTTTAAGAAGATAGACTTTGGATGCCTTGAACTCAGTGACTCAAAGATTCCATAACAGTTGTGGTATGATTTTGTTTCAGAGCTTTGAATCCCAGGGAACCAGCTGTTACTGGTTTTATAGTTTCTTTCTTTTCTTTCTTTTTTTTTTTTTTTTTACCTGGAGCCCTCTTGTTCCTCTGGGACCTACTGGACCTTCAGGACCCTGAAAGGCAAGTGACAAAAAGGATACATTTATGTGTATTTAGAGTTGGTCAAAACCACTTTTAGATAACTTTGTACAAAGGTATCTTACTTAGATATCTTTACATTAAAATTAAAAAAAAAAATCAAGAGAAGCTGAGCAGCTAGCAAATATTGAATAAATATTTTTTAAATGGACTGTGTAAGGCAGAATACAGAGTAAGAATGAACAGAGTTAATTAACAAGGACCAATAATCCAGGATTAAACTTTGTTTGTTTCATTTAAAATATTCACAAAATTATACACCAAATCTTGAAGATTGGTGTTAGAAACCTTGATTTCATTTTCACCTCTCATTCCCTTTGCTTACTACTTCAAGCCTTCTGCCTCTCTTCTTGTTATAAACAGGCTCAGGTTTCGGCCTTAAGAGAAATCACATGAAAGTATAGAAGGAGCTAAGAAAGTTACTGAAAATGGTATACTTGCTCACTTAATTTTTACAAATTGTCAGTTGTTAATTTCTGTCAGCCTTAGAATTATTATTTGCCCTACATCTATCACCATGGCTATTATTCAGGGAATTGTACTTTTTCTGTATTTCGCCTGTGTTTCCTGAAAGTTTAACAACTTTGTGGGTACTTACTCTGTCTCCTTTTATCCCTGGGATTCCACATTCACCTCTTTCACCCTGGAAAGGAACAGGAATAAATATTTATGAGGTATATTAAGCATATAATCCTTATTCTTTGGGTGCTTTAGTTGGAAACCTAATTGTTACTATTTTGATGACATATTTTAGCAATTGTACTGTAAGTTCACTGGGGAAGAGACACATCTTCTATTAGAGCTTCTGAGAAGCTGGTAAGATGATGTTATTGTTCATTAGTAGTACCTATAAGAAATGCTACACTAAACATAATAAATAATAGTATCATCAAATATGTATATGTAAGCAAAAGTTTTGACTGAAATATTACCTTTTCTCCTTTATATCCAGATTTCCCCTGGGAAAATAAAAAACCAAAGCCAGCTGTGAGGATATATAACCCAAATGTAAAAATGTGAGTATTGACGCCATTAACAATCTACTCTCTCTAGAAAAAGAGCATTTCAGGTTATAATGAACAATTTGGTAGAAAAGGTGATCTCTGATAAACATGGCAATATGACACTAAATCCTACACCTACTGAGCATGATAGATGCTGTTGTATGTGGGAACAAATCTTACAAAAGCGTCATTTTAGACTGGAATTTTGATGATATAAAAGCAGATCAACTAGAGTTCATATTTCCATCTCAGTGAGAAACATGCGGAAATAAGAAATCAAGAAAAAAGTCACTAATTAAAAAGGATGTACTTATTCAAGAAGGCATTATAAAGCAGGGTAGATAATATGTGAATGAACTCAGAATTAAACACTAAGAGGCTGGTCCTACAGTTACTTCCTAAGTATTTCAATTTTTTCATTGCTATTATACACTGGATCCTTTATTTGCCAAATTAAAAATCTAAACTTGGATTAAACTTGATCTTAGATTATCACATGAGATTTTTTCACACTTCTTAGGAGTGACCATGTATTATTAGGGAGTATTTTCTACATCAGACCTATAAGAAGGAATTATTCCCTTTCTTTAAGCAATGATAATGTTTTCAGTTCTTTCAGAGTGAATGAATCATTACCTAGTAAACCAGAATTGAAATTTGCTAGTATATTTAAAAAATAAGACAACATTGTTGTGTTTTGCCTTGATGTAACACTGCTCATTGGAGAAGAAGGGAAGAAAAATCTTTTTTACCTCTACTCCATCTCGTCCTGGGATTCCATTAAGACCTGGCTCTCCCTGTGAATAATCCAACATCAAGATCAGTGAAATCAGGAAACAACAGCATTGTCCTGCTTATCTGAGTAGATATCTCAATGAAATACAGGAAGCATACCAGCTCTCTCTTTTTACACTCTGATGATTTTATCTCTTATATGTAAGATTTTAATTGGTAAAGAATCTTAACTGCAGCAAAAGCTAGTAGATGAAGTCTAAGAAATTCACAGGTGGAAAATACATGGACACTATTAGGGTAGTCTTTCCATATTAATGAAGTACCAAATTGTTGTGGTTTAACCCCAGTCAGCAACTAAGCACCACACAGCCGCACAGACCCCTCTCCCCTCCCCAGTGGGATGGGGGAGAGAATTGTAGGAAAAGGGTAAGAAATTCATGGCTTGCTTTAAGAACAGTATAATAATTGAAATTAAATTAAATAA